ATGCCTATGGAAGTTCAAAGTTTTATTGTCCAAAGTTCTGAGTTTTTTAACATACTTCATGCATTAATTCAAGTATTTTGACGCAGAAATGATCGACGCTAACACTGAGTCTGTAATCAAGGAACACAAGATGTATATTTAAAGAAATTTAAAGGATAATTTGTAAATTTGAGCGAACATAGTACAAAGCAGCTTCGAACTATATTTTTTAAAAAGTGACTTTGAATAAAAATCGATTGATCTGGTTTCAATTTCCGCAGCCTGAAAACTATTACAATCGCTTTCTTTACATGTTTATCTTTCGTATGATTTCTATTAAGAAAAAATTCTTTTTTAAATGAAATCAAGTCAATGAATGTTAGAGAGAGAATTTCTGGATTCTTCTAAGCTTATTGAAAAATTAACTATAATCCAATCTCATGAATGGGGACGGGAAAAAAAAGAAAAGAAAAGAAATCAAAGAAAGAATAAGAAAAAGAAAGTAAAAGAAAGTAAAAGAAAAGAAGAATGGGAATATGGACAGTGGAATACTGATCAGCAAACTGGTGTTAATGGTGAGTGATCTAAGGTGAGGGATTCTTGTCATCGCCCAAAATGGAAAGCAACCGTCTTCTGTCGGGCGGGTCCAAAACAACTTGCTCCGTAGACTAAACATCCCGAGTTTTTCTCTCTGCACAGAAAAAATATAATTGACAACTAAAATGTGATGATAAGAAGGAAAAACAACATGCATTTAGAGCTGCATCCGCGATGAAGAAAATAGAAGTGGTCCATCTCCATAAAGTACAAGAATACAACACCAAGGAGAGTTGCATCTCACTTGGGACTGAACCTTGATATGTATCAAGATTGTTCGGTAAGTGACTTTGAACTAGATAGGTCTACAAAGCAGGTGATAGGGTTGTGGTGTCTTGATCACTAGATCGTGTAAACATTTCAAAACGGTTGAATGAATTTAACTAGCCTTGAATCTGTAAAACTGTCTGTCCATTGGTATATTGAAGAGAAGCTTTTGCACGTCTGTATGGATTATAACAATTTCATCTCGCATTGTTAATAAAAGGGGGGAAAAGCAAGCGCTTATATTCTTGGCTTTTAAATTCACAATCCCTCCGATTCAAATAGTTGATTTTTACCCGGATATAATTTAATTCAGTAACTGGAAAACGATGTTTACACGCCGAGTTTGGTCTCAATATTTTCATGCATTTACTGAATTTCATCAAATCAATTCGACGTCAACTAATTTCCTTTTTTTATCAGGCCAGGTCCTTGAAGCGGAATTAATTCACCATCAAAAAATATTGAACAAATTTATTCTTTTTATTCCATTTTGAGTATTCCCAAGACCACAAAAATCGGAGGTAAATTAATACATTTTCCAGGCCCGTACTTCATCAGAAATTCAACCTGTTGCTGTTAGACAGCTCGCGGAACGTTGACTTTGCCAAACCTATATATTTTTAGTAGATTGAATTATAAACTGAAATCATCACTAGAAGCGTGTCCATCTTTCATGATACACCTTATTCGTTGACGTGCAATATTTTACCATTACAGACCACGTGTCATTCCCTTGAGAATGAAAATCCTTTGTTTAAATTGTAGTGAAAGAGCAAAGAGTATTGTGTTATGTTTCATACGACAACGGCAAGCAAAGACAGCCGCATTTCCCCCATCACTTAGGATAGATCGAAATGTTGACTTATTATTATATTTGTTAATTTTTCCAAGGAGCTGAAGACATTGTAATGGTGGAAAAAGATGGAGAGAAAAAAACTCGCTCGTCCAAGTCAAAACGACCCCGTCTGCCGAAAAGCTATCGATTGCAGAAGAAGATTCCGGAATCGACTGGTAAAACCAGCAACAAACTTAAGAAATTCAACTGCGGAAATCTTAACTGCACGACGGAAAAACTTAGCAGTCTTTTGATGTGTCAAAAAGGTTATGCTTCGTTTGCATTTTATGCTGTTTTTACATTATTTATTTTGGCATTCATATATGTTCTTTGGAAAATTGTTAGCGCAAATACGTCACGTTCGGGCCAAAATCGTAGGCCCGAGACGTCGCCGAAAGTCAGCCCGACGACAACTGCACCAACGTGGTCGGAAGAAGACCAAGAGGAACTGAAAAAGTTTTCCCCCACATCTGCATCTTTTGTGCCAGCAAATAGTGGAACTAGAGAGAAAATAGACCCGACTTCGAGCCCTTTAACTTCACCTGAGCCCAGTATTCCATTACAAGATGCAAACCCGACAACAAAGGAGTTACCGAGACCAACTCAGAGCCAGATTTTTCAACTGGGAACTTATTTACCATCGTTACCACGTTTGTTAAGGGGTTCAGTATTTGGAGAAGATGCGGTTACTCCCTTGTATGGGAGAGGCCGTCAAAATGCTGTAATTGGTGAAGATTTCACACCGCTTCCTGCCACGTCTCCTTTTACATCAAGATGGCGGCCTTTGTCTAACTCTAATTGGAAAGCAGAACAACAAGAGCGACAGCGGATGTGGTCATTCAACCATCGACAGCAAATGCCATGGGCTTATCAAAGGAGAAACCCTCTAAAATCTCTTATGAGAAACAGTGAATTATCCGGTCAGCCAGTTAATGGCGATAAAGGACAGTATTCTCAAGGAAACGAAGATTCTATGAAAAGTAGTTTTGGAACAACTAAAAAAATGTCAACTTTGCAAAGCGAGCGGGATGAAGATGAAATGTCTACCTGGGGCCAGGAAGTTAAACACTTGCCTATAACTAAGAAGCACGACGATGGACAGAAAAGACATCACAGGTCTCATACTCGAAAGCATCACCGCCACAACAAGCATAGAAACAGTGATGAAGAATCGAGGATTGATCCTGAAAGTGAGCAAGGTAATGCTCGCAACACCATTTCTCGTTCAAATTTTAATGATCAACAAGATGAAACGCAAAACAGCTTTATGGAGCACGGATCATGGTCTAAGAAACATCACCATAGGAAATTTGTTGGTGCTCAACGACATGACGATATGATTGATTGGGATGATATGAAGGTTACTGAAAATGATGGTGATATAAGCTATCATCATCAACATCGTTCTCATAAACAACATAAAAACTCTTACCATCACGAACATGATAATCATCATCATCCAAAACAACATGATCATCATCATCAGCTGCAGAAGGAAAACCAAGATGATGATCAAGATGATGAACAAGAAGAAAAAGAACAACACGTTTATCCCCACCATCATCTTCATCATAGTCAGAATCATCATCATGCACGCGTAGAACATCCATCAAAGAAACACTTTCATCACAATGGTATTTTGAATGAAGATTCTGAACCATATAAAGAACACAGACACAAAACAGTGCACCATCATTCTTTACTAAACACAGGACACTCTAAAAATACTGAACCTATCCATCATCCGAAACATCATCATCATAATCACGATCATCAACATCAACATCATCATCATCAACAACAACATCATCTTCATCACCATCACCACCACCACCAACAACAACATCAGCATGATGCTCATAAACAACAACAACAACAACATCCTCCTCCTCCTCCTCCTCCTCCTCCTCATCATCATCATCAACAACAACATCATCACCAAATCAAAAATACTAGGAGTCATATTACAAGACATCATCGCAAACCTGATTCAAATCACAAATCAAGCAAACATTCACCAACGAAGAATCCATCATTAAAACATTTCCATCATATCCTGGACTATAAGCATTACCTCCGATTCCAACAAAGCCACACTCTAGACGAAGAAGTTCATGGGAATTGGAAAGGAATAAGACGAAAAACAAAAGATTGCATCACTATCAGAACTTTTTCTGCCAACGGCAAAGTTCGCTTAACAAGAACTCGATACCGAGGGAGATACTTGTACACTGTACTGGTGTGCAAAGTTGTTCAAGTAAGGAAACGTGGAGGAGGCAGCCACGCATCTGACTCCGGGTACAGAACTGCACAACTATGCCATAAATTGTACTTTGTTACAAAAGCTATAGTAAGGTTGAGTTTAGGTAAACCTTCAAAAGGTGGACATTTTTTGCCTGAATTTAAAGTTGAGGCATGTAAGCCTTCGAAAGATGTGCATTTTCAGGCAAAGAGCTTCCAAGGTGCCTTGTCTCACAATGACCGTTCACATAGGAGTGACATCCCGAAACATAAATATAAAACCAGRAAGGTGTCACTTCATAAGAAGAGCAAAAATGGGAAGTTGGTTCATAAACATAAAAGACATAAAGGCTCAAAGCATCATAGAACTGTAAAGCATAAACCCAAAGATATAAAACACCACACTGGACTAAATCACTCAAAAAATCATAAAAAAGAAAAGCTCAGCACCAAAAAACGTGTTTCGCAAAAGCATGGCAAAACCAGCAAGGAAACAAAAGTCAAGAGTCAGGAAGACGTCTTCTTTGGAAAGTTGTTGAATATATTAACTATTGCAAGCGGGAACAACAGAACATCAAATTCAAGCAACAACCCATTGATGACGCTAAAAGGTGCGTTGCAGGAGATGAAGAAAGCAAAGGAAGAGAAAGCAGAACAGGTAAAGAAAAAACACAAAACTTATGCAAAGGGAAAGAAAAAGCATGTGGAAGAGACTACGTTGCCTGATGTATCGAGTCCTAAATACATTCAAAAACTGCTGGAAAAGATATTACCCTCTGTGGTTAGTAATGTGAAGGCAGATCTACAAGGAAGAAAAGCAGGAGACAAAGAAGATGGTATCAAGGAAAAGGTTAGTACAGCAACAACTGCTATTCCCACAACATTACCGCCAACAACGACGAAGCCCACGACAATTACAACTGCAACAACAACAACAACGACAACGCCGACGCCGACGACTCCGACAACAGCAACGACTAAGGCGAAAACTACTTCTACAACAACAAAACCAACCACAAAGCCAACGACAAAATCAAAAGGCTTAGAAGACGAACTCGAAGATATTCTTCCTCTTCTACTCAAAAGAGCTCAGCTCGCCAAGAAGACGACTCAGAAACCAACTACCATACCAACAACACAACCGACTCTCTCGAAGTCTAAAGAGATCAAGAATATGTTAGCTCGGCTTAAACTCGGTGGTATTGACCTTGGCGACTTAGTTGACCCAAAGCCTACCAGACAAGTCAAGGCAACTGTAAATTCTATTCATACAACAGTGCAGAAAAAACTGAATGAACTGTCAGAACCGGATGAGTTTCCTGAATCTCAACCGCATTCCCTACAGAATAATATGAATTTAAATCAAATTACAAACGGTGAGGGGCCAGTTTCAGTATTAGGAAATGATCCATTCTCTAAGAATATTCTATGCTTTGGCGATAGCCTTACTAAAGGTTACTTTAACCATGGACGAAGTACTCATCCTTACAGCATTCAGCTGTCACGCTTGATTAATACCAATAGCCAAGTAAAGTATAACCTGGTTACGAGTGGTAAGAACGGAGAAATGACTCATGGATCCATGACGAAACGATTACCGGAAGTACTTGGCAACAACTCGCATTTTGATTGGGTTATCATTTTGGCGGGAACAAATGATGTCGCGCATGTAAAGAATTTTGGCGATGACGATTCGTTCATGAATCAGCTCGTTAATGTGTGGTCGCCGAAAATATTTCAAGATATCATTTCATTGCACGAGAGTGCGTACAAATATGGCGCTCGCACGGTTCTTCTTACCATTCCCGAAAGCGCATACGAGGCATGGCCACAATTTCGAACACTATGGATCATGCGCAGAAAGATCAACCAAGAGTTGAGAGAGTTTGCAAGTAGATCACAAGGAAGGACAATACTTTGTGACCTTGCATTAAAAATTCCAAGGCACTCTTTGTCTCCTCAGATGCAGAAGGCTCTATGGAGTGACCATTTGCATCTAACGCCGTTAGGTTATGATAAAATGGCGGGGCTGATATATCAGTGTATAAAACCCTATTTGTAAATCGATTAACTATTTTATTACCGCTTGTAGATAATTATAATCATTTGTATATATATCATTTTTGTTATTAAAGAAAGTAAAGATACGTTAAAATTGAACTAATAATTTTCGTCATCCTGCTCGAATTATTTTTCTTTTTTTCTTAGTTCTTGTTGTCTTTGTTTCTTTTAAGAAACTAAACAACTGCAATAATCCACTTAACGTTGACTACAGGCCTTGTTTCTACTCCTTCGCCATTCTAATGGGGATAGCTATTCTTATTGGGTTTCTTTTTGAGTTCGACGACGCCAAACATGAAGGGGAAAGTTTTCTCAAGGGTTTCAGCAGCGTTTTCTGTGACTGTACTCATATCTACTTTATTTTAAACATGCTCTTCTGCGATAGGAATAATCCAGACATAAGTAAATTAAGTCATTGTCTTGTCATATAATAAATTCTTAATTTCCACTGGTGTGTTTCAAAATCGCAGTCGAAACAACGCCAAAACTCTCTCAAATATTATAATTGCAAATACTAAAGGTTTAATTGTGTCTTTATTTGTAGTGTCAAAACAATATTGTGAATGTTAAATCATGCACACAATACAATGACGCCACCAGTTTTACATTAATTTAATTTTCCGGGTATTATCAGCTACATGCTATTGCTTCTTTAAGCTGAATACGAGACTTTTGAAGCTCCCATTTGCTTATATTAAAAGTTATCACTATAGCTTAGCGGTGCCATCATTCTTTATGAAGCGAAATTCTAAATTGCCTATAATACTCAAAGGTGGTATTTGAATTGATTCCTGTCTTTAGTCACTAGTTAACTACTCAAGATCTTGACTTTGGTATTAATGGTCTAAAAGTGATGAAGACAGGATGACATTGAAGATAATACAAGTCTTTCTTCCTTAGGCAACACTAATACAAAGACACTAGCCTAAGCAGTAGGGTCAACCTATATACGACCTCTACATATTTTTCTAGGTTAATAAACTAAACAAGATGATTGCGGGATTAACATATACACTGCTAGCTTATTTGATTTTTTTAATCATCAAAATAGCTTTTAAAAGCAGATTACATGCTAGTATCATTTTTGTACTTAGCGATTGTTCATGAGTACGAATGAAATAACAGCGAAGCCAAGCACCTTCAGGAGACTCTTTGACACCTTTGCTGCACCATTATTCCAGTGAGGGGGCTTGTCTGAAACTGCCAGCGTTGGGGCTTCAATGGGACTCTTTGACGTCTTTGCTGTACCATTATTCCAGTGAGGGGGCTTGTCTGAAACTGCCAGCGTTTGGGCTTGCTCACAAGACTTATCAGAGCAAGAAGCAATAGACTTGAGCCATACATTGGAACCGTCAACTTGTAATGGCAGCTTGCCCTGTTTAATAGCCACAGCGAAAGCTTGGACATTATCGTTCAGGTCTACTTGCACGTTTGTGTTGTTAACGATCCCAAGGCCCTTTTTGTCAGCAAGTACTATAAAGATGTCGAAACTGCTGGAATTGTTGCCAGCTGTGGTGTTGCCAGGATAGGAAAGCCAGTCCATGATATCCATGTTCCATGACATTGAGATAGCAATGGCTGAACCAAGTCGGTAGGCGAACCTGCTTCTTGCATCTGCTTCGGGAAGATGATTAGAAGTAGGTCGTTGTCGTCGCTGAAATTTTTGGATGATTACTCTGGTAATTTTCACTATTTCTTTACCCTTTTCTTGTAGCCATGTTTTGGAACACTTTAAACCACACTCGTTTCCAATGTTCCACATCCCTTTCATGGATTCCCATGCAGTATCGTAATCTAAGAACGCTCCTTTGATAACGAAGAAGATCTTAAAGTATTCTCCACATTCAAGATCACAGATGGAGGGCGCGTCTTTGTCAGGATTCAAGTAACATGGTGTATGGGATGCAAAAGCCCGGTCTCTTATTTCCTTGCACGTTGGCTTACTCCATGGACGTAGTAAGGGTACTAAAGATACCTGAAGACACTTACTAACACTATCTGTCCAATTTTGTCCCTTTTCAGTAAACCAGCTTTGGTGTTCATTGTAAAGTCGACAAAACCTCTCGGCATATGCTATTGCATAGGCATTGGTGGTGGGCTCGCAAGGGTACTTTCTTTCCAAACAATTGTGGTACCAGTCACACGATTTCCCGGACGGACTGTAGCATTCTGCTGGCAGAGAAGTTGTAGGGGATATTGGCGGATAGACGGTAGTTTGGCTGGGACTACAGGAACAGTCGTTTGTCACGGGGCCGTTGTTTTTTTTATTGACTTCAAGCATACACTGGTACCAGCAATAAGTTGCAGACCGGTCAAGGCAGTGGTGCCGTTGCGAGCTTTTTTGCTTCATGTATGTGTCAGTCAGTCATGTTGCCCATTGGTACTGATAGTTGTATCTTGGTATCATAATGCACTGTACAACTCCTGACGGACCCACAGAACGGTCACATGCCATACCATAATGTACCATCAACAAGAGACCAATTAATTGCCACATTTCAGAACCTTTAAAATGTTACAAACAGGTTTTTCAAAATTTATGTTTTTTACAAAATGTTTTGCATGATATATCGTTTGGTGAAAAATGGTGATGGATTATGATCAGCACTCTTAATAAAATAGTTTAGGAACAGTAAACAAACGGCAAGATCCAGTCAACATCCATGTCCTGACTTTGATCAGTCCAGAGACAGATTAAGGATACGGATGAAATTTTAAGGTGGCTCGACTTGGTTTTGTTTATGGCGCAGCTGCGAAGTCTGGGCGGGAAATGCGTCGCTGCCAATAAGCTAATTTCGAATGAAGTATAATATATATATTTAGGCAATGCCTAAAAGCGGAGCTTCTGATACGCAAGTCACAGAGAGCCCAATTTGAATGAAACTGAAAGGTAAAAATAAGATCGGGAAAAAAATCTTCAATTATTTTTTATTCGAGATGAAGATAATTTCTCGATCCCATAATAAAAACCGTGCAGTGAAATTGAATCGAAATGCACTACATTGTTTTCTTTGCTCCGAGTATACTCTCCCACTAAGGAATTTTGTACACAACTCACCACCACCCCCAGGGGCTAGTTTTATTCTTGGAAGATTCTTCGACAAAGTTTTCCATGGCCGACATTTTTAGCTTTGAATTCCTGGTTAATTTTACTTAAAAAAACACACGAAAGATAACTACAGATAATCCAATACAATATCAGGTTTAGTGAAATTTACCTTGTATGTCTTTCATTGAAATCGAAATTTTGGAGATTCCCGAAGTTTTTTGGGACAAATCAAGACTATAAAACAGACTTGAAAAATGGTTAAGGTGAGGAAAAAATAAGCTTACTTACGTCTTTTACATAACGATGTTTGGTTTTCCATAGGAATTTTTATGTTTTTATATGAAATGTATTTTTACCGCAATGAAAACAAAAAAATAAATGCTTTGGTAGCATTTACAGAGAGAAAATTGTCTGGAGATCGTCAAATAACTAAACTTGAGAAATAATATAACTCTATCAATCTTAAACCTATGAAATTGAGTGTTGGGGCTAAAATCATAATTAGGTTTTTTGAAATTTTAAGGATGGTCATGTTGACTTCCAGTGGTCACGTGACCTCAAAGCCTGGTTCACATATGATCGCAGACGATCGCAGACGATCGCAGACGATCGCAGACGATCGCAGACGATCGCTCTCGATCGCTCGATCGCAGAGTCCACTCAACCGAGGATCTCAAATCGAACTGTTCACATATGATCGCAGCCGATCGCCGGCGGTTTGTTGACACCTGAGTCCGCGAATTATCATTCAGCAGTAAAACAAAGTACGATGCAGATTCAACATAGACTTTAGAAAATAATCGCTGGCAAATCAAAAAAGAAACATTCGACTTTATGATCGTGAATACTTCTTGAGGGGAGTCATTACTATAAAGAACAGGACGTGCAATCCTAAAATATACCCCCAAACGACAGTTGTTTACTTGCCTATATGGCTTACAAACGTAAATTAGCATATATAACCGTGTGTTGATACTTTTAAACCAGTTATATCTAAAAAAAAAAAACTAAAAAGAAATGCTTTTTCGCTTGTGAAAATCAAAAATATACACGTATTTTATGGAAAACTGAGCATTGTGGGACACCTTCCAATCTCACGATCGCGGAATTCTGTTCACATATAATCGCAAACGATCGCAAACGATCGCAAACGATTGCAAACGATTGCAACCGATTGCAACCGATCGCAGGAATAGAACCCGATTCTATTCCTGCGATCGTCTGAGATCGCGATCGCAGACGATCTCAGACGATCGCAGACGATCGCAGACGATCGCAGACGATCGCAGAGCTGTTCACATATAATCGCACTCGATCGCCAGCGATCGTCTGCGATCGTCTGCGATCGTCTGCGATCGTCTGCGATCGTCTGCGATCATATGTGAACCAGGCTTAAGGCGAGAAAAATAGAAATTTCAAAATGCATGGGCTGGCGGTTTTTATGTGACTCGAAAATTTTTCAATGTGAACTTGTTAAGTACAATAATCTTAGCAAGAAACTGTCCGGAATAACTGAAAATCATTCTTAGTTAAGGCAAAAAATAAAATTATTCAATATTTTGACTCGGTCACGTGACCTGTTTTGTCAAATATCCCTTTCACCAAAAACGAAGGACACCTGTTCCGGACAGATTCTGGTAAGAGTCAATGTACTTAACAACTTCGAATAAAAATATTTTCGACTCATATAAAAACCGTCAGCCAATTTTGAATTTTCTGTTTTGCTCTCCTTAAAGTCACGTTACTACCAGAAGTCAAAAAAACCATGCTTAAAATTTTAAGAAACCGAAATATCACTTGAAGTCCAAAACTCAATTTCAAAAGCTTAAACTTAAACTAAATGTGTTTTTTCAACAAACCGGTAAAATAACTAGCCTTAACATGCTTGAGAATGACGAATTTCTTTGTCAGTAAATTGGCATTTGTAAATGTTTTTGAACATTTTTTAGCTTTTTAAAGTGAAAGTCTA